TGTGTATTATATCAGTTATTCATATATGGTGTGTATGTGTTGCTGAAAGCAAAAACTTGGACACTTTGCAGAAAGGTGAGATGCTGGGTAGCAAAATCTAAAGCTTCTTGTTCCTGGAAGTAGTTTTTCCTGATGTGAAACCATCTTATACAGGTGTCTTGTGGAGATGCTTTTTTTTTAGTTGTGGTTTGGGGTTTTGGTTTTTTTTTTTTTTTTTTTTTACGGTACAGATTTACACTTTATCTCCTTTGCTGTCTCTTGTAGGGGGAAGAGTAAAAATTAAAGCTCCTTAGTACTTGTCTGTGGTGAGTTGAATAGCCTTTGGATGGTCTATTTCCAAAGAGCAGGCATAGGGAAATTAGAGATCTGCAAGTAAAATCAGTTGTCCACATAAGCTTTAGAACTTGAATATGGGTATGACTTGTAATTCTTGTAAGTTAAGAGAAAAATAGGAATTTAACCATTTCCTACAGTACCTGGATGAATAACCCTTCATAAAAAGAGATTAGAAATAAGAACTGGCATGAGATGCAGAAAAAGACTCAGTTAAAGCTGTATCTTAGGTCAGAATGGTTATGGATAAAGTTTGATCTAAGTAGTTTGAATTTCAGTAGCACTTTCTGTTGAGCTGTAGAAGCAGTTAGTGCAGATGAGAATTGGAGATTTGTAAAAATAAATACATTGTAAGACCTGCATAGTCCTGGCTATGAGGAGAGTACTAGAGATGTGGTACCAGAGTGGATGATACTGCTGGTTTCTCCAGGATCGTTCTTGACAGTTGGTGACTGAGAAGTGACCTTATCAGCATGCCTTGCCCTTTTTATGCTAAAATGTGCTGATTGTACAAAATTCAAAGGCATCTGTTAGACTTTAGAGGCTGTTACTGAAGAACTACACAACCTTGAGGATTTGAATTACTCACCAAAATAGCATGAAGTGCGAGGTGTCATAAGTATGATTTATTTCAAAGAACATTTGCAGTAGACTGGGAGCTCATTAGTTGGAAATGCAGAGGCTTAGGAAGAGGTGAGTGGGTTTAGTTGGTCACAGCTGAGTTTGAGCCATGAGGCTAAATAGAATAAATAGAATCTGAGAATGTATCGGACTATCTTTATTCTTAGACGTGGGCGACAGTGATGTTAGATACTGAGAAGAGCGAATTTTAAGTGCAGAATGTTGTTTCTGGCTGATTAAGGTCAAAACTAATGAATCCAGTGTGGAATGAGTACAGAGAAATTACCCAAGTTATTGGCTGAATGGTAGCTCCAGCTTTTGGTGAAAAGAAAGGACTTTGGTCTGCATGGCTAGACAAGCTGGAGACTGAGACAGGATGGTTGTGGTTGGTGTTCAGAAATGTGAAAAACTGTTCAAAACAAAACCCAAGCTAATTCAAGTGGTTATGGAAGTGGAAAGTTCTGTAATCATTACATCTGAGTGTTCCAGAATTTGTTTTTTATTTGACACAATATATACTCTGTGACAAACTTTGAAGGAAATGTTTGAGTGGTAGAGATCTAGATCCCTATCAAACCAGGTGATTAACTTTCTCCTTTTGCAGCAGATATTGCTGTTCTATTCTGTGGTTTCTAGCAATGTTTGGTGTGCCCAGTTACATGAAGGCTTTTTTATTGGTTCCCTTTATTTTAATATTAGTAGGAAAAAGCTGTATGCTAAGTGTAAAAGCTTGCAAAGAGTAGAGCCAGCAAAACTGTAGTGACACAATCTCTGGAAGACATTTTCTCTGTTCAGTCATATACAGAGGTTATTTATAAAGCTATTTGTTTATTTTGGCTCCATTGGAAGTATTTACAAAAAGAAACAAAAATAAATTTGGGGAGAATCCTTTCCAGATGTGATCTTGGAAAAATGAATAGGAATTGGCCACTTGTGTGTTTTCAAATTCAAGCAGTTCATTATGTATCTGGAGGCCTAATCTCTCTATTTTTGAAATATAGCAGGTAATTAAAATTATTGACAACTGGTAGTTGTCAATAAACAAAGGTTGCCAGTAGTTTAAGGTTCTCACTTCAAACACGTGGTCACCTGAGAAGAAAATTCAGACTTTTTACAGAGCAAAAGAGGGTTTTTTTGGTTAAACAGCTACTGCCTCCTTTTGCACAGAACAAAAGTCAGGAATGCTAGCTTTTAAATTTTAAAACTAAGAAACTAATTTACAAAAGTTCTGATTTGGGAAGGAAAAGGAGTGTTTTGGGTTTTTTTATATAATAAGTAATTTCACAAGGAATTTTGAGAAGGAACTATTGGTAATAATTTTAATTATATTAATTCCAGCTATTATTGAACAATTAACATTTCAAAATGGCTGCAAAATTTTGATTGTGAAAAAAATCAAAGAGGAACAATTCTTCCCTGCTTCTGAGGACTTCCAGGGACCATTCTCTTCCTGCTTTTCTGGAATTATTAACACAAAATGACTGGTAAAATGTTCTTTTGCGTTGTTTTATAATATGAGAATCCCAAGAACCTGACACTGTAAAAATGGAGCTGAAGAATTCTGAAAGTCTCAGAAGACTGTGGTGCCATGAAGTAGTTGGCTTTAATATACAATCGTAATAGAGGTTTGAGGGGAAGAGAGACAATAGGGGGTGAATACATATGGCCAGCAGATCTCAAAGAGCTGCTGGCAAATAGCCCCTGTGTCTTTCTCCATATGAACAACTGAAGTACACTGTGACTGTGTCTTTGGAGGTGAAATATGGAATTTTTTTAGGCCACTGTGACTGGGATTGGTTTGTGATTTACCCAGATGCTTTTGTAATGATGTAATGGGTAGATTCCTGTGGTTAGTGAACGGAACTAGAAGGTTTGTGTGGATGGATTAGGCATGCACAGCTCTACAGCATGTTATCTCAAACTGTTAACACAGTAGGTATGAAAGCATAGACTGATAATTGTCTTCTGCAAGAAAAATACCTGATGCAAGTGTTAAGGTTATTTTTATTCATGAAGAATTCTCAGAGAAGGCTGTTTTAAAGACTGACCAAAGAACATTCTGTGGGGCATGAGGAGAACCACTACAGCACGATTTGGTTCCTAGTTTTGTTATTTCTTATAAATGTTGTCACTGGAAGCATTGGTAAAGGCTACTCTGTGGCTAAAGGATAGCTACACTTGTTGGAAAACACGAAGTGCTCTGGTCTGGTTTCCAAATGGGAGATATTTTGGTATATTATGTATGTAATATTTAATAGTATGTAATAGTATGGAATTCTTATTACATTGAAATTAAAAGCTTCTTTTGGTGGAAGGAACTTAGATCTCTTGCTGCGTTCCTTTTAATGGTGAATTTAAGAGTGATAAAACCCCATGTCCTTTTGTTTGTTTCCTGAAACTGACTTTGGATAGATAGATGAATGTAAATTGGGGAACTTCTTGGGACTGGTGAAGTCTTGTGTTATACTTAGAAGAGTGTTTTGTCTTTGGACTGATCTTGCCAGTGATCAATTCCTGGGATGTTTATCTGAAGACTGTGTCTAATAGCTCACTTGAAAGTATTAGAAGCAGTAGTGTACTCAAAATTTGCCCCATATGATGATAGAATCCAAACTACTCCACAAACACACTGCCCGAAGAATTGAGTAGGTTTATCTCTCTCAGAACTCCTAATTCAGCTGTGAAATTCAAATACCTCCAGTCAAACTAAAATATCTTCTAGACTATCTTCTTCTCGGAGCTGCATGGGTTAATTAGGTAGCATTTGAGATGCGAGAGCAGAATTAGAAGTATAGGTGGGAGATGCTGTATAAGCTAAATTGAATTGTTGAAGAGAAAATGTTGGCTCAATGCTTGCCAATGGTAACTTAGAAATTTTCATTCCCCTCTTCATGTTCTACAAGGTTTGGCTAAATATAAACTGTGTGGTTTTATGCTTATTTAGGCATGAGCCTTGCATGATCCTTTTTCTGTATCAACCATGTATTTTCACTTAGCATGAACCTTATCCTTTTAAGAACAATGACAAGTCTTTTGAAGGGTTTGTTTTCTTTCTTAAGGGAAAGATTTGAAGTAATCCTGTCCTGTTTTTCTTCATTTCATGACTATTCCTACCTATGACTCTTCCAGTTTAATTGTAATTTGTGTATATTTCTGTTAGCTATAATGGCTCCTTCCTGTTAGATTAAGAAGGTACACAACAGAGCTTACCTTCCATGTGCTGAAAGTGAGAAGTCTAAGAGCAGCAGTAGCTAACCGAGAACTTGACTGTGAAAAATAAGCAAATACAGCAAAGTGATCCACCTAGGTCATAGAGTTGCGTGTTTAGGTGAGTGCTCCTAGTTTTCAGTGACTGTTCAAATCAAGATAGCAGGAAACCGGATGTTTTTGGACTGAATGAGTTTACTCAACTGAGAGAAGAAGAAAAAAAGAAATCCTGAGTGAGAAAACCTTGGGGTCAGGGATAAAGAAGCAGCGTGGCAGGTCATGCACATGATCCTTAGTAGAAGAAAATCACAGAGGTTTGCTTGACACATCAAACAAAGAAAATGGTAGTCTGTGCACTGACAACGAGTGGGAGCAAAATCCTTAAGAGGCTGAGATGTGAAAAATTCAAGAGAGTAGGACCCTGGGTTCTGGGGAAGAGGTAATTTCAAGAGAAGAGGGTAGACAAAAAGTTTCCTTTTGTTGGTAGTGGTATTTGATATATTTTGGCGTTAATAGAAACCAAATCTTTTTTAAGGATCTTTCATTCTTGGTGCCTGGGCACAGTTTATTGGCAAAGAAAAAGAAATTGAGGTAACAGCACTCTCTGATGCCAGATAAAACCCTGTCAGGAGGGTGGTGTTAAGTTTGTGCTATATATACAGGGAATATAAGGGTAGATACAAGGGATGTAGGAAGAAAACATTAATTATGGAGATAGAAAAAGAACGGATGAATAAATAGGAATATGTAGAATCTGAAGTATTTGTTGCCTTTAAAAAATGACATTTTGTTTTAATGTTGCAAATACTGAGTAACTTTTCTTTTACTTTTAACAGACTCTGAAGGCAGATCCAGAAGAATTGTTTACAAAACTGGAGAAAATTGGTAAGGGCTCTTTTGGTGAAGTTTTTAAAGGAATTGACAATCGGACTCAGAAAGTGGTTGCTATAAAAATTATTGACCTAGAAGAGGCAGAAGATGAAATAGAAGACATCCAACAAGAAATCACAGTGCTGAGTCAGTGTGACAGTCCATATGTAACTAAATATTACGGATCCTATTTAAAGGTAAGATGCCTACAGATGATGGTGATTTGATTTGATAAGTAATTATTTCCCAAGTTATCCAGTCATGCCTGTTTTCATTGGCAAGGTTTCAGTCAGACCTCAGTTGAAGAAAAACATACTTTTGTCCTTCCAATTTTACAGAAAGAATGAGTTACTGTATTTTGTGAAGTATGTGACAGAACTTAATAGGAAAAAAAAAAGGCCTGTGTCCTTTGCTGCACAAAAAGAAATAATATCAGTTTGCTAAGCTCTAGAGTAATCTGTTTAGATTCTCTTAATATTAGGTTACTATTAGGAGAATGTTACTCTAACTATTGTTTAAATTCAGAAAACATAACCTAAGTCTGCATTTGAACTGTCAAAACCTGAAAAACAATGTAGTATCAGTTGTTTTGTGCATCTTGAAATTTTTTGTCAAGGCTTGATCAGTAGCAAAGCTTAGGTTGCTTTTCAAAAGAGGCTGAACCAAGCCTTGATCCGAGTGATATAAAAATTAAAATCTAAAGGTTAATTTATTTGCACATTTGCAAACAGCACATTAGCCACAAGTGAAGCTAAGAGAAGGAGTTTCCATTAAGTGCCTTCTGAATCTGTTTCCCTTCCCTCCCCCTGCCATATTAATTATCAGGGCTCATTTTTAAGTGTACTAGATAGATAGGTAGTGTGGGTGGGTTGTTTTGGTTTTGTTTTTGGTTTTTTTTTTGTGGTTAATTGGATGGATATAGTGATTTATTTTGTCTAGAAGGTATTGAAAATATCTGGAAGCTTTTGGTACTACTTTATTTCTTTAGTCAGACTTTGTCCCCATCTGGATAGCTCTTTCTGTTACGACAGTGAGATGGCAATCTAGATAAGAGATTGTTCTCATGATAGGGTTTGAAGTTACAAGTAGGCTGAAAATACTTAAACTTTCAGTCTGCTTTTACAGAAGTATTTTATTTATCAGCAAAAAAATGAAGGTTTTGAAAGGGTCCCCATTGCCAATTCCCAACTGGATTTCTGAGATAGCCAGTTAGTTTCCAAGTTAAAAAGGATTTTTTTTTTTTTTTTTTTTTTTCCTGAATCCAGGATGTGTATTACTGAAGGGATGTACAGGTTTTCTTTTCTTTGTTGTGCTCCAAACCATTTTGTCTCTGAAGGTTTTGTGAATGGCTTCAGACCCGATAACCTGTTATCAGTACTGGACTTACATAGCCTATATCTCAGAAGCATCAGGAGGCACGTAATTGAGCACAGTAAATCGGATAAATTTTTCATCATGGCTTTTATTACTACCTTTGAAATTTCTCAGTCTAGGTTTGTTAGTTAAATATGTCAAAAAGCAAAAGTGGTATTTCTTTCCTGGACTGTCTCTCTGCTTCAAATCTGTTCCTTTTAGAGGGGGAACAGTAAGAACCTGTAGGATAAGTGAAATAGAACACAAGAAAAATAGAAGTTTAATAGGAAGGCCACTTAATTGTTTTTAAAATGTATAATAGTAATACAATCTTAGAATCGTAGAATAAGGTTTACACTTAGGCAGGGAAAGTTCAGGTTAGATATAAGGAAGTTCTTTACAGTGAGGGTGGTGAGGCACTGGAATGGGTTGCTCAAGGAAACTGTGAATGCTCCATCTCTGGCAGTGCTCAAGGCTAGGCTGGACAGAGCCTTGGGTGTCATGGTCTAGTGCAAGGTGTCCTTGCTCATGGCAGGGGGGTTGGAACTAGATGATCTTAAGGTCCTTACCAGAACCGTTCTATGATAATATGGTTGAAAAAGAGAATCCAGTGTCCAAATCTGAACAGAGTGAATATGAACAAGTTGTGAAGTTAGTATAGCAACTGTTGCTTTTCCTAATTGAAGGAGAGAGGTGACTGTAGGACTTGGTGGCCTGAATGGGTTTGGCTGGATGGAAGTGTCATAGTGATATTCATGCTTATTGCTGTGAGGAGGACCCTCTGAAAATACTTGTACCTTCCGCATCCCTTCAGTCAAGTGCCTGTGAATTTTCCAACCTGTGTCAATTTTCTAAGGTACTGCACTAACAATGTCTGTGTAGGACTTACTTTTGGAGAAAAGTATAGCTCTTTTGATAGCTAGCAGAATGCACAGCTACTCATTTTTACTCATTGCTTCCGTTCTTTGTGAATATATATTGTTTTGCAAGACACTTTGTACTACAGCACTTTTGGACTTAAAACAAAAAACTCATTTCTTTATGCTGTTAAAAATTAATATGTGGTGGTTATTAGGTGATGCTGAAGTGACAGAATCTTTGCCAAGGAAGCATTTTGCAGGTCTCTTGTTATTGCATAGTAATTGTGTGTCATCATATACATATACATATATATATATATATATATATGCACACACACACACACTTAAAAAGGACCATATTAATGTTTATTTGATTAATATTCTTGGGTAGGAATCTAGGTTTATTTGCTGCATATCTTTGTTGTATTTGCAAGCCAGGACTGCCATAAGGGTCTAAGGGCTTCTAAGGGTCTGACTGTCTTTTAACTCTCTTTCTAACAGGGTGATAATCTATCACCAAGAATGTTCAATACATTAATTTACCACATCTTGAGAGATTAGGAGACATTATTTCTTCCGTAATTGGACAGTTCAGCACTAATTACAGGAATGATACTCATATTTCTTCACACAATGAACTTCTTTGAAATAAGCAAGGGAGAAAATTATAGGATCTTAGGTTATATTGCCAGCCACTGTGGTGATGATCAGTCACTAAAGCCTGTGCAATGTGATGTGTGCTGTCCATGTGTCTGGTGGATCTTAGATAGAAAGAGGTACTGATTATAGAGAACTGTCATATTGATTTTCTCTACCTTATTTTTGGCAGAGAAATAGCAATTCCAGTAACAATTTCAATTGCTCTCGTTTTTTTTTTCTTTCTGGCTTTAGATCAGTCTTTATTTCTCTAGGTTTACTGCATATCCTTTTGTGTGCTGAAGAGGTGTCTTTTACTACGTAATAACTTTTTTCCTATGTATTCCCATGTCAGTTGTGAAGTATCATAGACTCATAGTAGGAGTATCTTTTATGAGAAGTTTTTGGTATTTATTTTGTTATAACAAGTTTCAAGATGCTGGAAAAGAAAAATCTCTCATTTGGGATACTGCAGACCTGATGATTAATATTTCATGTCCCTTTTGAGAACAAGTTCATAAAATTGCAGAATACTTGCTCTGATATCCTCTAGAATAATTGCCAGGTTTTAAGAGGCATTCTGTATTTTCAGCAAAGATGGTTAATAGACATTACCAAGAAGACATTTATATCTTTAAAGATTCTGTAGGTAGCCAGAATGTTTTGTCATTGTTTCTTTGGCTGGTGTTTTTTTATTTTGTTTTCCTTTTTTTTTTTTTTTTTTTTTTTTAAAAAAAAACCCCACACCTGAATCACCTGTCTCTGATAAATCCTTGTATTGTTCTTCATTCTCTGTTATTCCACACCTGCTTCAATTGAGCTACATGATTATACATGCCAGTGTGTTAAGGGACCTGTTGCTGGAAATTTTAGAAGGCTTATATAATACTGCTGTACTTGCCTGAGGCCTCTCACTGTCTTCAGGTGATGTTCATGAGAATAGCTTGTCAAGCTCTTGGTGTCTACTGCATGATACTAATGGAAGTACAACTTGAAATGAGCATTATCATTTAATGGGTTAATGGCAGTTACTTTATCCTAGAAATTTACATTTAAAAAAGAAATACTCTAAAAAGTAGCTAAAAATTAGGGTGCTATACCCAAAACCCTAGTTAAATTCTTTTACTGTAAAATTTTTTGTGTATCCTAACTTAATTCTTTCGGAAATGTTTGCTTTATATCATTTTTTTTTTTAATATCCAGAGACTAAGCCATATCTATTCATGTGAGGTATTACTGCTTTGACACAGTATGTCTTTAATAAAAACTAGGTTATTGCTCACATAAAGCAAGCTTTCCATTCCCTTTGGACTTTGTTCTCTATATCTTTAGTTGGAGATTTGTGGGCAATTGCTGTGGTCAGAGCTCATTCAAATAAAGCAATAAGCAGTAGTGAAGTGGGTGCCAGTTTAGGCAGTTTAGGTTGTCATCCTGAATATAAATCAATTTATGGAACATGTTTTTGTCGGAAACCCAAGTAACTATATAAAACAGAAATGCAAATACTCCTTTCTAAAACCACATTTTTAAACATGACATTCTCATGTTCCCATTCTATTGGGCTGAAGGACTTTTGTATACTGTAGGAGATAGTAACTAGCTAGATTCTTGCCCTTAAAGCATATTGCAGTGACATGGTTTGTATGGGTGCGTATCTAGAGGAATTGCTCTTCCTTATCTGCGATGGTGTGTTGAAAACCTATATCAGTGTTCATTAATGAAGTAAGCTTAACAAAATAGGTAGTGACTCTGTTATATCTCTGTGCTCTGGGAATCATCTTATCCTTCCTGTCTTCCAAATGAAAGGTTTATTTGTTCCATCTGTGATCTGATGGTCCATGGATAGACAAATTAGAGCTCTTTTTAGATCCTTACAAAGTTCATGAATGAAACTTCTCTGGGTCTGTTTACTTCTTTAGATTTTTAGGTAACAGCATCCACTGCCTCTTTTATAATAGAATAGAGATTCTTTGTGTTTCTTCTTAGGTTTATTTTATTTTTTTAAATTATAAAATTACTGAAGTCTTTCTGTCTCTTCTGAGTTTTGCCATATTATAACTCTTTGAAAATATTGTTATGCTACTTATTCCAACAGCTTTTCTGTCTGGGAGCCTGTGGCTCTTCTTTTTGGATCTTTTTCCACTTTACCAATTTTTCAAGAGTTTCATTAGATTTAGCCCTGAAGTTGTTTTTCTTGTTCTTTTTAGGTCAAGTTGTTTGGAGTCTGTTTTGTTTCCATGATTCAGATGCCTCTTTGAGAACTTTTTTTCAGTTTTGTTAATAAGTTTAATTACTGCTTTATTATAACTTCATAACATTTTCATTTCTTTGATCTTTTATTACTGTTT